CCAAGCACTAAGTTTCTGATCGTCTTTCAACATAAACAGACAGAAAACTAGGTGTGCTTTTATGGGGTATTTTAAACTTCTCTCTCTACATGTGCGTTCGAAACAAAAAAAAACCAACAGTACACCGCTCAGGTAGTGGGGGACTACTTGCCAATGGTTTTCATCAATTTTTTTCCTATAGGCTCAAGCATCAAAAAAGGATGTGGGTGTTTATAATCAATATCTTTGGAGGTGTTAGCGTACTGGACTTAGTTAAGAATGCCTACACCATAGAGTTGGCTGTGCAGTACTTTATTTCAGTAAGCAGTCGATTCTGCCTATCTTACTGTGATGTCAGAACATCATCCTTTTTCAGCAATTCACAGCGTGGGGCATTTGAAGCTTGTCAGACAAATACGGAAGCGTTGAAATATTTACATCAAAAAGTCAACATTTGCCAATAAATGGTATCTGGGATATTGCAGTTATTTCCCTTCCATATACAGGGGGAAACTATATGGTATATTTTGGCAAATACTGATATCTTAATGCAGAAACTAGTGTTTAAATGTCAGATTTACACAACCAGCCTCGTGTGTGTGTGTGTGTTGTTCTGTTGTGTCATTTTTGCAAATATACTAAATTGCAGGCAAGTATAGTAATTACACAGCTAACTACCTCTTTGTGCCTTCAGATCAAGTAGTTAAACCTATAACTACTAACATTTTTACCTCCTATTAATTGTAGGCATAGAAAAAAGTGTTAATGCAATTATTTACTAAAGAGAAGTTGCTCTTGAAAAAACTGGAGGCCAGGTTGACTTCTAAATAAAATTAGTTGGGTTAGCTGTTTTAAAACAAATTAGTTAATTATTATCCATACCTATTAAGTTTGCTTTGTACCCAACCCTTATGAGCGCTTCCTGTTCTAAACAACTATGAGGGGCAATATCCCATTGCAGCAAAGGAACGAAATTCAGAGTCAGCTTTCTCTGTTGCACCAAAATGTAGCACCCATGGAATGTAGCAACTCTTAAATGAGTCCAGGCCGCTACCATATCTAAAGCCAAACCGAAGGTGGTAGTGAAAGTCCTACCTCTGAATATGGAAGGTATTCTGGAGTATATTTAGCTCCTTGATGCTCCTTATTTATATTATGTCAATGTGTACAGGCCCCAACTAGAATCAAGGCCTTATTGGGTAAGGCACGGTACAAACCCAAAATAAGAGATTCAGGTCACACACAGGAAGACAATGACAGAGCCAGAAATCGATCCTGGATCTACAGAATCCCAGTCCAGTGCCTTAGTCTGGGGGCTTGTCTACACCATTCATTAGTTCATGTTAGAGATGTATAAATTCTGTTGTGCAGTAACTGGCCTGTGTGGACCCTGCTGGCGCACGTTAAAAGTTCCCTAGTGCATGTTCCTGTAGTCCCATTTTGAACAGTCCTACATTAATGTGCACTAGAGAACTTTTAGGGCATCCAGCAGGATCCACCCAGGCCACTGAGTGCACAACCCGCTAGTATGCACTAGAATTTACTCCTGCGTGGAGTAATGCACCATGTAGGCAAGCCCTGAGTGTGTTGATAGAGTCCCCATTAAAGAGAAGTGCTTTCCTCCTTTACAGCTGTGTTTGCTGTATGTTCATAAACTGTATTCATTTCTTACAAAACTGCCCCACCACGAGGGGTGGCCACAGAGGCATTCCCAGAATACCAGATGTCCCGGTACTTCCGGAACAGTGGGGGCCTGCCCCCACCAACGTGAGCCAGGCAGCGGGGGCAGAGCAGCACACTTTTCAAAATGGCATCTCCCATCTCATGCCGCACAAAACCTTATCCAGTTTTGTTTCAGCACCGGCCGCGGGACAAACCTTTGAAAAGCAAAACTCTCCAGTTTAAAACAGGGTGAATGGCCTGCCTACCAACCCCACGCATGGGCCCTGAATCTGCCAACTATCTCACACTGCAACAGGAAGCTGTTTTTATTTTCAGTGTCCTGATCAAAACTAGAGAAACACACGTTGTGAAACAATAAAGTATTGGACAGAACGTAGTTCAGTGTTGTTGCTGGGCCGCTGTTCATGTCAGCTCAGTTTATTTACAGATTGGAGGAGTGTGTGAAAAACAAGGGTTTCAGTTCTCAGAGTTTCACATAAATATTTTTTCCGGTTTTGGTTCATGAGATTTCACGCCCCCAGAGTTTCAATTTGGGCTTGAAAGCTCAAACCAGTGAGCTTCATGTGATTTTTAGCCAGGCTAGGCTTCATTCTGAAACACAAGGTCTCAATGGTTCATGAATTGTGAGTCTTTTAGCAAATTTGAGCTGAGTTCTTCAACCAGCACTCGTTGAAGTGTCTTTCCCCAGCTCTCAGAGAGTGCAAAAAGAAAACTTATAATTTAGATCATGCTTGTAGTCCCGGACATTGCTATCTTGTTTGACAGTATCTCTTCAGTGTTTGACCTTATTCAGATTGTCACTACTATAATATACAATCCACCTTGACAATGTCGTGAAGATTGGGGGATGCTACCGGATGCTACCTGATTTGCTCATTACCTTCAAGCTTCTGCACAGTGTTTAATTCAGCAGCTGAACATCAAACATACATCCTGATTTTGTTACCTAGAGTATTTTTATTATTGCGGTTAGGACAAGTCGGGTCCATGCTGACAAATGCACTCCTTTCCCAGGAGAACTGTCTCCTTTTTAAAAAACCCTCCAAACTTCTGAAGCTTTTCTGTTTGAGATATATCCTCATTTTACCTCATTTCTTTAATACTAATCTTTTGTCTATGGGAGTTTCAGATTACTTGTTACTTTGATATATAAGCATTAATCTAACCAGTCATGGCACTTTCTGGTAGGTTAAGTGTTAATTATCATTTTTTTACCGTTAGTTTCAGACTTTCACTGTGGAAACATTGTATGTGGCTGGACCAGAATCTGTGAATATTCTTCTGTGAGGCAGACCCTGCCAAAGTAGTTCACACCTTTGTAACCTCAAGGCTAGTTTATTGCAGTTCGTTTTACTTAGCACAACAATTGAAGTCCATCCAGAAGCTTCAGCTAGTGCAAAATGCAGCAGCTCATCTCTTGAAGGTGCCATGCTGGTCTGAATGTTTGAAACCTCAGTGCTTCTCGCTCAGAACTGTTAGTCTCTAAGGTGCCACTAGTACTCCTTTTCTTTTTGCGAATACAAACTAACACGGCTGCTACTCTGAAACTTGCCTCTCTATGTTTACGATCTGTAAGGCCCTTTATGGTCTAGGACCCAGTTAAATTGGAGATCTCAGTTTCTGTATCCTGTTGTAGGAAATTAGATTATCAGGAGCCTGCGAGGATGTGTGTACTTTTTCTTTAAAATTATTTCAGGAAGCCGGGCTTGAGTGGAGTTTCCGAGGGGAGGCTGTACAGTGATCCAGAGAGAGAGTAGCTACAGGGATGATCATGTGTTCCTTATTACAAGCAGGGATAGTAGCACCACACTATTATTAAGCTTGCCTGATATTTCCCATTATTGGGACCCTTTTTTTTCGTTGCTTATAACTTCAACCATTTGGGCTTAAATTTTTCACACTGGGTGTCGGACTCAGGCTGAACGGTTTTTGAAAATTTCAGCCTCAGACTGGTCAGCCATTTCCAAGAATGAGGCCAGGGAAGAAAAAGATGTTGTTTTGCCCGTGTTAAAAAAAAATTCTGGTGACCTTTCCTTAAGCTCAAACATCCTCAGCTTTGAAGCAGAAACTTGAAATTTGGCAAGAGAGTGGTGGGCTTTGTGTCAGGGATGTGCCTTTCGCATGAAAATCTGCCATGCCAGCTGCCGGGCACAGGGGGGCGAGCAAGCCAGAACATGCTGGAGGGGAGAGGGGGCTCTGGCTAGCTCAGTCCCTGTCCCCAGCAGCCGAGCCCAGGCAGGGAGCAGGCGGCTGCTGCCTCCCATCTAGGCTGTCTCAGGCTCCATCCCATTCCCTGCCCAGCTGCCAGGGAGAGTGGCTGAATGCGCCAGGGGAGGTGCAGGGAGAGATGGACCGAGGGCCCCCCCACACACACACACAGGCAACATGGGGCAGGGAGAGTGCAGCAGCCCTGCGATGGGGGGGGGGGATATCAGTGGGCAGAGGACACGTGGGACAATCATGTCTCCTCCACTTTAGATTGTGCTCCCCCTCCCCCGCCCCATATGGGGAGGCACCAGTTGTCTAGGGCTGAGTAGGGCTTTCCTTGCAATTACTGTTCTGGACTGCTGCAGGCCAGAGCTGGGGCCACGACCAGGCACCGAAACTGAGAGCAAGAAGTTTGTCCGTCCTGTGCTGTCAATGACCTAGACCTAGGCAGCATGGAGGAGGAAGCTGCCAGATTTCAACGCAGAGGACAAAAGATAGACCTGCAGGAGTTGGGGGAGTCATTTGGGACAATGAGTAGGGAAGTGGAGGAAGACTGGGACTAGGAACTGGAGTTGTGAAGGAATCTGGGACTGGCTTGGAAAGGAGACTGGGACGAGGAACTAGTGGGAAAGGGTGACAGAGGTTGGTGGGCGGAGAGATAGTTCTGCTTTGTTCTTGCAGAACTGAACGTCTGTTTTTATTTACAGTAGTAAGTACTGTGCTCCTTTTTTGAACCTAATAATAGAAACAGATAAGGTGGAGATGGAGCCATATAAGTAGCTAAATAGTTAATAGAAAGCAGTTCAGAAAAGGTGACCTGTTTAGTTGTAATAGCTATATGGATACGGGAGCTCTATTTTCCTTGATCATTGTGGATGTGATCATGTGCCCCTTAAATCAGTGGAGGATCTTCACTGGGACTTGAGCAGCTTTGTAATTCAGCTGATGTTATTCTGTTTGTATATTTTTATTAGTGATGTAGACTAACAAGCTGTTTCTCTAGCTTTACTTCTTGTTTGGGGGGCCTGCAATGCAGAGAACTATAAAAGTACATTTCTCACTTGTTGATTTCCATACTTATCATTTCATCTCAAGTGAAAAAAATTCTTCCATCTCCTCTTCTTCTTCAGATCGCTGACGACCTGGGAAATGAGAAATTCTGTGCTGATGCTAATCAGACTGGCGCTGGAAATTGGCTGAAATACATCCGAGTGGCCTGTTCTTGTGATGAACAAAATCTAGCTGTATGTCCCGTTAATGACCAGGTATGCTTCTGCTCAGTTGAGCCATCACCATGTGGTTTTTTATGGCTTTGGCAATTATCAGGTTGCTACATTCAACTGATCACTTTAACAAATACAGGTTTGCTTTGTATTTAAGGGAAAAGCAAAACATCACCATGTGGAAATTCAGAGGATATATTTACTAGGTTCCATTGAGATAAATCTGCATGCTTTTCTGAGCATCTCTGGTCTGGGAATCAAACTTGAATAAGATGAATTTAGGCTTTCTCCTGAGATATGTGATGTTTCTGGAGTTAGGGCCAAATTGACAGTACAACAGGAACAGACTTTCATCTGGTATTTTTCCTCCACTCTCTTTGAGTTTTAAGCTAATATGTGGTTCACATTTTATTTTAGGTGAACTAGCTCTCCACTCCCTACATATACTTAGGCATGGAAAGATTAGATCTTTATCAGTAAATATCAGTAAACGTCAATTTCACTGCACACACACACAAACCAACAAAAAATAAATTTCTATTAATAATAATTGAAGTTTACAGATAGGCACAGTCAGAACAATGCTGCTTGAGAATTTATGAGAGTCAAAATCCAGCAATCTGGACTTTTGAATTAGGCTTGTTACAAATAGACTAGCAAATGAAGCATAAAAACAAGTATGATCTGTTTTATGTTTTGACATGTGATGTTGATGATTTGTTTTAACAGTTTATAAAGCTTTAACTTTTTGAATCTCAATGTCTACTGTCATTAAATACTAATTTTCTGCCCACTCACATAATTTTACACAACCCTAAAAATTTCAATTGATAAAAATAAAAACAAGATCCAAACTTTGATATAATTTTTTTTCTGTGTCAGCTGCTTATTCTCTCCCCTCATCCCCCGCTCCCCTCCGCCCACACACAAACACACACTAGCCATAAAATTATGTTTGTGACATCACACTTGGTTACTGTGGAGATGATGATGGCATCACAGTGAAAGTATTATGGATTTGCATGAGGAATAAGCAGCATGAGCGGCAGGGCCGGCTCCAGGCACCAGCTTTCCAAGAAGGTGCTTGGGGCAGCATGCAGAATGGGGCCGCAGTCTGTGTCCCGCGGCAGCAATTCAGTAGCAGCTCCGCCGCTTTTCCCGCCATGGCGGCTTTTGGGCATCAGCTCCACTGCTCTTGGCGCGGCGGCAATTCGGCGGCGACTGCTTGGGGCGGCAAAATTGGTAGAGCCGCCCCCGATGAGCGGATAAACTGAAACAAAGATCCTTTTTTAGTGCACGTGCAGATATTCATACCAGTAAAATCTGAAAGAAGCAAATAATCAGATACCCAGGCAGTCTGTCTGTCTGACAGCAGACAGACACAGAACTGCTCCTAAATGGTGAGCCTGGTTCTCCTCTGTCCTGTATCTTGTGTAGTTTTGTACACCTATGCAGAGTGGGTGTAAAAATCCACCTTCTTTTTTGGTAACTCTTTACACAGTCCTAAAGATCGCACAAGGTGCAAGGCAGTGGAGAATCAGGCCCTAAGTGTTTTTTTTTTCCCAAAAAAAGTTTTGCACTTGTGTCAGCTGCTGCCTGGTTGAAAAGACAGTGTGAGTATCTCAGGTTGCTTTACTGCCACGTGGCAAGCAGAATAAAATCCCAAAGGAATCCGTTTGTAAGAGTTTTTAAGGGGGCTTGTTTGTTCCTGAAGTGACTGTCTCTGGTAGCAAATTGATATTACACTGGGACTTGAACAGAATTTATGCTATTTAAAAGTTTGTCCATAAGGTTGCACAATGTAGGACAACATGGAAATGGTGGCAAAATGAGGCTGGAGCCATTTCGTTTTCAAGACATCATGTTTCCAGTTTCCATAGCTGCAGTTTTCTTTTGTTTATTTTTATCCTTCTCTGGCACCCTTCAGACTTGGAGAGCGTTGGTAATCGAGCCCTCACAGGGATGTTATCTCTTCTTTGAGTGAGACTCAAGAAAATGACACATTTTTCTTTTCACTTTTTCTGCAAATGCTGCAAGAGAAACCTAATTACAATCAGCAGATTATCTCCAGGTTTTTTTGGAATCCAAGACAGAGGTTTATATACTTCAATCCAGAGTCACGATAGGTTTTTGTGCCCATAATTTAGCAAGATTTGTAGAACACCAGCACTTTGGCTGACTCCAAGTGGCTGAGTGGGATGTCCATTCAGCAGCTCTGATCTTTTTAAGGGCACTGGAATGGTTGGGAATCTCCTGGCCCACACGCCTCTTTTCTAGTAGGGGAAAACTGCAAAGCATTGACAGCAATCATGAAACCTGAATTCTTGTGATTAAAAAATAGATGAATGAATGGAGATCGATGCTGGTATTTCATCGCAGTTCGAACAGTAGAAAGTGCATGCTGTACATTGACAGTGATGGATAGAAAGTCTGCTCCCAAGCTGTGAACTAAGTTTTTGTCTCTATTTAAGTGGGAGGGGGAAATGGTTTCGGGGACTGTTGAGAGAGAACTAGAAACATAATAGGCATGTTGTGGAGATGTCTGTAGCACACTCTCCTGGGGGAGGAGATGTTACAAGGAATTAATACGATTTTTATGATGATATTCCCAAAGGCTGAGTCATCTTGCCTTCTAGACAGATGACAAAGTCTCGCTAGGATTAATTATCTAGTTTTTGTAAAGCGCTTGGAAGATTAAAAAATCGAAATGGGTACACGAGAAACAATTAGATCTGGGGATTTATAAGACCTCAAATTGAGTAAAGTTCAGGTCCATGGTGTTGATTCAGGCGTATCTCAATGAGAAGTGCAATACTAATAATATTCCTACCTAGTATTGTCGATAGGCATTTGGAGGCATAAAAGGATGAACCGTGAGGGAGAATATATTTCTAACATGCATGTTACTAAGGAGGACAATACAAGAGACTCTTCAGTAGAAATGGAAGCCAAAATATTGCTCTGAGTCTGACATAGAGATGGGCACGCCCATTCATATAAAATGAGAATTGACTTTTCACTTTTCACACAACGCTTGACCCAATCCAAAATCCAAACTTAGTGAAGTTTGAAATATTTCCATCAACTTTTTCTCATTCATATTTTAACATGCTCCTACAGAGCTTGACTTTGGAGATGAGTGGCAATGGGAAAGCCAAAATACTGCAATATTTGTAGCCTGATTCCTAGACCAACATGGTCTGGATGAGCTTTTGGATAAAAGCATCCAAATTTTGGGTTGTTTATATAAAATGGACTCCTGATTGCTGTGATGCCCATCTACTACTCATCATGAACCCTCTTGAAACAAGAACCCTTATAACCAAGAGCCTTACATTTGTCATCAGCTCCATGCCTTACATCAAGAGCTGCTCTATGCATTTTGTAGCACATGGAGCTGAATTCCATATCTCAGTTTCAGAGAGTGACAGGATAAATATCATAGAAGCCATTCCATTTCCCCTTACCTATTACCTAGACCTTTACAGTCCTTCATTCTGTGCAGATTATACAGGTCTCCAAGCAGGCTACAAATGGTCTGATTTCCTTTTAGTGCATCCCACAGATTATTTGAGCTCAGCCTATTACATTAATTCATATCTTTGGGACTCCCAATAGATTCAGCAGCTCCAGTGCATTGGATACACAGTCTAATACCTTCTCACACCGCCTTATACCTTACTAGCCTTGTCTCCAGGTAGTTCTGTTCACTCCCTGCCTTAAAAAATATAGTTTCGCCCAACTGTCTATTCAAGCAACTCTACTTGTGTAACAAAAAGGTCCTTTACCAGGAATTTGAAAAAGCCATTTCCAGTTTCTGAAATAACCAGTGTAGCCACTGTAATAAATACAAACAACCAAGAGCGGTTGTTGGAGTGGGATGAGGACTTCCAAGGTCGGGCTTCTTGCAAAGATATTTTAGACTAAATAAAAGAGAGTAGAAATATACCAATTTGATGTTAATGTACATTTTTTTTTCTGTTTGAAATATTAACCTTTAGACTACTGGCCTTTTCTAAGCATGCCAGATTAATGGTTTGATTGAGAGCAACGTGTATATATTTTGCCAACAGCTAGAGGGCTAAATGATTATTTGTATCACATTTGATTTTAAGACCAATTAATTGCATCTCTTTTCCTTCATCTGGAGCTTCTTGGTTGTGCATAGTTTCAATTTATGTAGCCGTCTGATTAGAAAGAACTGCTGTATTGCACTCACACCAGACCTGCTTTCTCTACCTTCTGTTACATTCTAGCCATTTCCTGTGTATTTGCTTTATTATAAATTCACTAAAACATACATCAAAAAAGGTGGCAAAATGGTTATTCAAGAAGAGGGAAATAAAAAGGCCCCAGAATGTAACTAGATGGTAGGCATTTCAAAGTGTTTTCTCCCTCCAGCCTCTTTCCTGAAGCAATGAAGACTTTTAGGTCAGGCCAGCTGGTAGGAATAAAAAGATCCAGTGTACAAAGTGCAGCAGACAATGGTGATTGATAACCAGAAGTTCCAGACACTTATGTGAAAAAATCATAGGCATAACAACATCGAGGTCAGGATGTACTTTTTCTCAAGCAGCTCATTATGACAATCTGTGGGCAGCAATAGGTCTTACAATATTTGGGATAATCAGCAGCTCATTGAAATCCTTGTAGGCTTTATTATCATTATTATCATCAATTTTAACATTTACATGGGGGAAATACCAGTAAGAGTGTCCATGCTGGATTAATATTATTACTTTCCCCCCTTCCCGTTCTCCACACCATCTTAAAAACAAAATGCAAACACAATTTTCTTTTCTTGGAAAAATTCAAACTCTTGCCATTATCTAAGTGTGACTCTGTTTTGCATAATCGCTAGTGGATAGTCTGGCCTGAAGAGTTTCAGTACATACAGATAGGTCTAGGATTTGCACCTGAAGTTGCTTTAATGTTAGGGGGGGAAAAACAGGAATATGAAATGAAGAAGTAACAGAAAAGAAAAAAATAACAAACCTACCTCTCAGGGCTGAAGTATCAATCTCAGTTAATGTGAAAATATC